TAAAAAATTTATTTGTCTATTAACTTATCCTGGGATAATACCGAAAAAAAGCTCGACCTTGCCCGTGATTTGTAATTCTATATTATCAAAATTTTTAACCTTTAATGCAGAGCAACTTTATTGTAAATCTGGCTGGTATTAAACCTATACATTTGTAACTTACATAGAATCATCTAACTTACAATGTAAATTATGTTACAGTTAAGTTAGCCCAACCCTAGCCTAAGATTTTATACATGCCGTCATTGAATACTTGTGTGGCAACAAACCTCATGTAATTTCACTCAGACTTTGCGTTTATAGTATGTAAATTTAATATATAGACTCTATATATGCTACTATTTTGCATGCTATTTATCCGACGATGGTACTATGCAAACAATCAAACAACAGTAAATCTTTACTGTAACTTTAGAAGGTGAAGAAATCTACGGAATTTTTTAATACAGGATTCTCGAACATGTATGGGCTAAACATGGAATGATTTCACAAAATAGAAAATTCTATGCATATAGTGCTTAATTATGGAATGATCTACACGAACTAGAATATTCTATATTGAATTAAAAAATTTTATATAAATTAACCGAATTCGCCATCCATTTATTCAGTCAAGAAACATAATTTTTAATTTTATTAACAACGAATTTTAATTAAGTTCATAATGTATAATGAAGAAAACTCCTCAAATACTAATAATAGTCAATCTATGGAATGGGATGTAAGCTTTACTCATGATCAAGTTAATATAAGTTTGTTCAACGCTTATAATAACCCATCTATAGAATGGTCCGCTGGATTTACTCAAAGTTATGAGGATAATAATAATCTATCTACTGAATTATCTATAGACTTTACCCAAGATCAAACTAATATAAGTTTACCAAACTTATATAATAATCCATTCATGGAATGGTTTACAAAATTTAATCAAGACCAAACTAATAATAATAATCTAACTACAGAATTATCTATGGATTTTACCCAATATCAAACTAATATAAGTTTGCCAAACACTTATAATAATCCATCAATAGAACGGTCCACAAGCTTTAGTCAAAATCAACCTAATAATAATCTTACAGAATGGACTACAGATACTATTGATTTTACTAATAATTCACCATTTATGGAATGGGGTGCAGGCTTTACGCCATATCAAATTAATACAAATTTGCTAAATATTTTCAACAATTCGATTATAGAATTACCCGTAGACATTGCTCAAAATAATGAGGATCAAACTAATTACAATCTATCTATAGAACAGACCGAATGCTTTACTCAAGATCAAACTAATACAAATTCGCTAAATATTCATAATTCAGAAGTTATTCAATGTCATGAAAATAATACTTTACAACAATATAATACAAAATCAGTAAAAGAAAATAAGCGTCTAGTTTCACTTGTCTCTAGGCATAAAAAAAATCGTCAAAAAAATCCAAGATGCAAGAAATGTAATCACCGAAAACCTCACTATGATGAAAATTCTAATCAATGCAAAGATTGTTATCGGGCCTCATTACGGGTCTTGAGTGGTAATAAATTAATTGACGATTTTATTGGATCAACGCAAAGTTTTTATGGCTGTGCAAATTACAATAAATTAGAATTTATTCCGTATAACCAATTTATTAATATTGAATATCTTGCTAAAGGAGGCTTTAGTGTAATACATAAAGCAACATGGTGTGATGGACCTATTGCTCGTTGGAATCCTAAAAAACAAAAATATGGCCGAAAAAGAAATTTTGATGTTGCTCTTAAAGTTCTTAATAATTCTAATAAAATGGATTCTGATTATTTAAATGAGGTTTGTAGATTAAATTACATTAAAAGTATATTTATATAATCTATGATTAAATTTATATAATTTAATTTTTTGAATTTAAAAACTTATTATTTTAGTTGAAAAACTTTTTTCATTGTATAAAAAACAAAGCTAAACGTGATGTCAAAAATGTCCAGCAATATATTGGCATTACGCAAGATCCTGAAACAAAAAAGTATATAATAGTTATAGAATTTGCGCAAAATAGGGACCTACATCATTTCCTAAATAAAAGCGCAAATTCATTATCTTGGATAGAAAAATTAAAACTATTACAGAACATTTCACGCGGAATTAGATATATACATAGAAATAATTTTATTCATCGTGACCTTCATAGCGGTAATATTCTTATTGGCCAGAATAATATTCCAGCAATTGCAGATTTAGGAATAAGCAAACCAACAAATGCATTGTCAGATGAGAACGCAATCTATGGAGTTATTCCATATGTTGCACCAGAAGTATTAAAAGGAGGAAAATTTACACAAAAATCAGACATTTATAGCTTTGGAATGATTATGTGAGAGGTAATAAGTGGCTACAGGCCATTTTCTGATCGTAAACATGACGAACATCTTATTCTAGATATTCTTAATGGTCTTCGCCCAAAAATTCCAATTGACATTCCACATGAATTAGTTGAAATAATGGAAAGTTGCTGGCATCCAGATCCGGACGAAAGAATTCAATTCAATATTTTTTATGGAATCCATGATCTTAATAAAATTATTAATAAAGCAGCACTCGGAGAAATAAAATTTCCGGAAAATAAGAGAGCAATTATTTTACCAACTAAAATGAACGAACAAGGAATTTATTCCAGCCGACCATTAACACCGTTAATTAGTAAAGCATTGACTTTACATAGTATGAAACTAAATAGCAACGCAATTACTGGTGAGAAAATATGTTGTATGAAGATAATGCGTAATTTTTATTTTAAATTCTGTATAACCTAGTATTAATAAGGTTTGTAACAATCAATTGTTTAGACATTCCAACGGCAATAATGCAACAACTAACAAATGATGATTCTAAAGCGATTGAATTTGATATAAACAAACCATAAATAGAATATCAACATTTTGAAAATAAGAAAGCTTCTAATAAGCAATTATATTTCTCAAATTTGTATCATTCATTCAAAACTGAGAATTCAATTTTTTTGTTAACAATAGATTTTTGTCAGAGGCTTAATATTTATTGGATATTTTCTTTTTGGTAATTTTTAGCAGGAACTTCTTTAAATTTTTAAAATTTTTTTTACGTATATAATTTATAGTAGATGAATTAATATATTTTTTGAATATTATACACCGCGTTTATTTAGAATTTTTTTTTTTTTACAAAGAATAAAATATTGTATGAAATCATTAAAATTATTTTTCGAAATGCATATTAAACATGACTTGCATAGATATTCCACGTCATTATTACAGTATCTTTAAATTAATTACAATATAAAATTTAAATTTTAGCTAAAAACAAATAATTCAAAACGCAAGATTTGATAGATTTGATGGTGTTTTATTAATAATACATATATAAGATATGCAATTTAGTATAATATAAATGATGTTCTATCGCTATTCAATTGCTCAATGAGTTTCATTCAAGCTTCTTTGAATAGGGCCTTGATTATCTAACTGTTCCAATTTGCTATAGTAACTAAAATAATTACATAAACCATATTGATAACGATATACTGTTATTGTATAAGACCGTAACACAGTAAGCTTATAAATTCATGCATTATTAACTTTAATTCTTACTATCATATGTAGTAGAATAAATTTACAAATTGTTATTTTAGAATCACCTAATTGCGAGTGCCAACAAAAAACCTATGATAAATATGCTACTGCATATATATATTATACTTTTCGTGATATACTAGATTATTCTTTCACGTTTATAAGCAAATCACAATTATACAGCTGATACAGTTAATACAATAGATAATTTTTGCCAATAAATTAAACGAAAAAAGAAATTAAATCAACAAAAGCTAATTTAAAGTAAAAAATTCAAATTATGAAATGAGAAAATCAATTACACTAAATAATATAATAACAAAAGATCACTAATGACATTCTCTAAACGCACCAAAACATGATCTTGAAGAAGATCGAGAAATTAAAGAATTAAAATTTAAAGTAATTGTAATGTTACAATAATATTAAAAGTATTAATTGGATCCTGAATTAAGGTAGGAGGTAGGAGTCTGATATGAAGAAGTCAATTCACACAACGAGTTGGATGACAAGTTTGACGACAAGTTTGATAAGTTGGACGATGTCACGTAACTTACGTAAGTTAAAAAATTTATTTGTCTATTAACTTATCCTGGGATAATACCGAAAAAAAGTTTGACCTTGCCCGTGATTTGTAATTCTATATTATCAAAATTTTTAACCTTTAATGCAGAGCAATTTTATTATAAATCTGGCTGGTATTAAACCTATACATTTGTAACTTACATAGAATCATCTAACTTACAATGTAAATTATGTTGCAGTTAAATTAGCCCAACCCTAGCCTAAGATTTTATACATGCTGTCATTGAATACTTGTGTGGCGTTTATAGTATGTAAATTTAATATATAGACTCTATATATGCTACCATTTTGCATGCTATTTATCCGACGATGGTACTATGCAAACAATCAGACAACAGTAAATATTTACTGTTACTTTAGAAGGTGAAGAAATCTACGGAATTTTTTAATACAGGATTCTCGAACATGTATGGGCTAAACATGGAATGATTTCACAAAATAGAAAATTCTATGCATATAGTGCTTAATTATGGAATGATCTACACGAACTAGAATATTCTATATTGAATTAAAAAATTTTATATAAATTAACCGAATTCGCCATCCATTTATTCAGTCAAGAAACATAATTTTTAATTTTATTAACAACGAATTTTAATTAAGTTCATAATGTATAATGAAGACAACTCCTCAAATACTAATAATAGTCAATCTATGAAATGGGATGTAAGCTTTACTCATGATCAAGTCAATATAAGTTCGTTCAACACTTATAATAATTCATCTATAGAATGGTCTGCTGGATTTACTCAAGGTCATGAGGATAATAGTAATCTATCTACAGAATTGTCTATAGACCTTACCCAAGATCAAACTAATATAAGTTTACCAAACTTATATAATAATCCGCCCATAGAATGGTCAAAAAAATTTAATCAAGACCAAACTAATAATAATGATCTAACTACAGAATTATCTATAGATTTTACCCAATATCAAACTAATATAAGTTTGCCAGACACTTATAATAATTCATCCATAGAACGATCCACAGACTTTAGTCAAAATCAATTTAATAATAATCTTTTTACAGAATGGACTACAGATACTATAGATTTTACTAATAATTTACCATTTATGGAATGTGGTGCAAGCTTTACGCCATATCAAATTAGTACAAATTTGCTAAATATTTTCAACAATTCGATTATAGAATTACCCGTAAGCATTGCTCAAAATAATGAGGATCAAATTAATTACAATCTATCTATAGAACAGGCCGCATGCTTTACACAAGATCAAACTAATACAAATTCGCTAAATATTCATAATTCAGAAGTTACTCAATGTCATGAAAATAATACTTTACAACAATATAATACAAAATCAGTAAAAGAAAATAAGCGTCTAGTTTCACTTGTCTCTAGGCATAAAAAAAATCGTCAAAAAAATCCAAGATGCAAAAAATGTAATCACCGAAAATCTCACTATGATGAAAATTCTAACCAATGTAAAGATTGTTATCGGGCCTCATTACGGATCTTGAGTGGTAATAAATTAATTGACGATTTTATTGAATCAACGCAAACTTTTTGTGCCTGGACAAATAAAGTAAAATTAGAATTTATTCCGTATAACCAATTTATTAATATTGAATATCTTGCTAAAGGAGGCTTTAGTAAAATATATAAAGCAACATGGGCTGATGGGCCTATTGCTCGTTGGAATCCTAAAAAGCAAAAATATGACCGAAAAAGAAATTTTGATGTTGCTCTTAAAATTCTTAATAATTCTAATAAAATGAATTCTGATTATTTAAATGAGGTTTGTATATAAAATTATATTTAAAATTATATTTATATGATTTATGATTAAATTTATATAATTTAATTTTTTGAATCTAAAAACTTATTATTTAGTTGAAAATTTTTTTTCATTGTATAAAAAGGGGTAGAATGGGTTATAGAGAAAATATCCATCAATATATTGGCATTACACAACATCCTGAAACAAAAAATCATATAATAGTTTTAGAATTTGCGCAAAATAGAGACCTACATCATTTTTTAAATAAAAGCGCAAATTCATTATCTTGGATAGAAAAATTAAACCTATTACAGAACATTTCATTAGGACTTAATTATGTACATCAAAATAAATTTATTCATCGTGACTTTCATAGCGGTAATATTCTTATAGGCCAGAATAATATTCCAGCAATTGCAGATTTAGGAATAAGCAAACCAATAGATGCATCGTCAGATGAGAATGCAATCTATGGAGTTATTCCATATGTTGCACCAGAAGTATTAAAAGGAGGAAAATTTACACAAAAATCAGACATTTATAGCTTTGGAATGATTATGTGGGAGGTAATAAGTGGCTGTAGGCCATTTTCCGATCGTAAACATGATGAACATCTTATTCTAGATATTCTTAATGGTCTTCGCCCAAAAATTCCAATTGACATTCCACACGAATTAGTTAATTTAATGGAAAGTTGCTGGCATCCAGATCCGGATAAAAGAATTAAACTCGATAAATTGTGGGGATTGAAGAAACTTCATGAAATTATTTATAGTGGAGAAATAAAAAAATTTCCAGAAAATAAAAGTGCAATTATTTTGCCAACTAAAATGAACGAACAAGGAATTTATTCTAGTCGACCATTAACACCGTTAATCAGTAAAGCATTGACTTTACAAAGTATGAAACTAAATAGCAACGCAATTACTGGTGAGAAAATATATTGTATGAAGATAATGCGTATTTTTTATTTTAAATACTGTATAATCTAGTATTAATAATGTTTGTAACAATCGATTGTTTAGACATTCCAACGGCAATAATGCAACAACTAAACAGTAACCAAACTGATGATGATTCTAAAGTGATTGAATTTGATATAAACAAACCATAAATAGAATATCAACCTTTTTGACAATAATAAAGTTTCTAATAAGCAATTATATTTTTCAAGTTAATATCATTCATTCAAAACTGAGAATTCAATTTTTTTTGTTAACTATAGATTTTTGTCAAAGGCTTAATATTTATTGGATATTTTCTTTTTGGTAATTTTTAACAGCAACTTCTTTAAACATTTTAAATTGTTTTTTTTTAAAAAATTTCACGTATATAAATTATAGTAGATGAATTATATAATGTTAGTAAAATTTTTCGTTTTGATTAATTAATATATTTTTTGGTTTCGCAAGTTCCCGACAGGGTACACAACCTTCACTGGTATTATATTATCGTGCCTGGCACTTACATTGACCCTAATATGTATTTTATTAAATTAATTAAACTTTAAAAAAATAATTAATATTATACACCGCGTTTATTTGGAATATTTTGTTTTACAAAGAATAAAATATTGTAGGAAAACATTAAAATTATTTTTCGAAATGCATATTAAATATGACTTGCATAGATATTCAACGCCATTATTACAGTATCTTTAAATTAATTACAATATAAATTTAAAATTTTAGCCAAAAACAAATAATTCAAAATGCAAGATTTGATAGATTTGATGGCGTTTTATTAATAATACATATATAAGATATGCAATTTAGTATAATATAAATGATGTTCTATCGCTATTCAATTGCTCAATGAGTTTCATTCAAGCTTCTTTGAATAGGGCCTTGATTATCTAACTGTTCCAATTTGCTATAGTAACTAAAATAATTACATAAAACGTATTGATAACAGTATACTGTTATTGTATAAGACCGTAACACAGTAAGCTTATAAATTCATGCATTATTAACTTTAATTCTTACTATAATATGTAGTAGAATAAATTTACAAATTGTTATTTTAAAATTACCTAATTGCGAGTGCCAACAAAAAAAATTATGCTAAATATACTGCTATATATAGATATACATATCCGCTTTATACTATACTATATAGTAAAGTTATTGTTTTTTTCATGGTTATAAGAAAATCAAAGTTATACATTTAATACATTGATACTTGTTACTAATTAATTAAACGAAAAAAAAGAAAATTGAAACAACAAGAAACCAATTTAAAGAAATTTAAATCATAAACGAGAAGTCAATTACACTGAATAATATAAAACAAAAGCTCACTAATAGCATTCTCTAAACCGCACAGAAGCATGGTCCGCAGAGTTATTTGCATCATCAGTGATTGAAGAAGAAGAACGAGAAATTGAAGAATTAGAATTTGAAGTAATTGTAGTATCACAATAATAATGGAAAGCATCGATTTGATCTTGAGTTAAGGTAGGAGTCTGAGATGAAGAAGCCATCTCACATGACAAATTGGAAGACAAATTAGATGGCAAATTAGATGACAAATTAGATGATAAATTGGATGTCAAGTTGGATGATAAGTTAGACGACAAGTTGGAAGAAGAAATATTATTTGATAAATTATTTGATAAAAGGTCGGATAAACCCCTGTTATCTAAATTGATATTATTGGACAATTCAGCATCAATGATATTTGTAGATTTCCTAGACTTTCTCAGATTAGACTTGGTATGAGTTTTACAATGGGCGGAAAAATTATCAGATCTTCCAAACTTTTTACCACATCCAGGGTAATTGCAGGTATATTTACGTTCACCAGTATGGGTGATCATGTGACGTTTTAAATGTTCCAAACGTTTAAAACTCCAAGTACAACCGGGCCAATCACATTTATGCCGATTTCGAGATAAAGAAGAAGACGAAGAAGATAAGGGAGTAAAGTGATTAGCAATGCCATTCAAGGAGAAAGCATTGGACTGAGGTTGATGAAGTTGAGAGGTAGTAGCAGCGACGGTTAAGTGAGAAGTGTTATGAGGGATTGACATCATATACAAATGATTATGATTACTTAAAGCCGTTGAAGAAGGATATTGATGAGAAGTTGGAGCATGTAAGGAAAAAACGGGCATCATCCAATTGTTAATGATCGGTTTAGTATCTCGTGATTGAAACGAAGGGTAAAAATGATATGCGCGATGGAATCGTGGAGGATCGATAGAATTTGCAGGCATCGATGATGTTGGAGTATTTATTTGATGATGTTTTGGTGTTGGAGCGATCAATCGTGGTTTAGATTCTATTTTTTTTTATAAAATTGGTTATTATTATGAATCAAATATGATTACTATAATGAATATAACGAATATGAATATATATCATTTATTATTAATCAGAGTAATCAGCAAGAAGCTGAATTTCTTACCCATTATTAATATAGAGAGGTAAATCCTCTAACAAAAGCTAATTAAATTATTATGGAATTTTTTTTCAGGAATAAATAAGATTAGAACGAGAAAAAAAAATCATATGCCATAAATAAATAAATAATAATAATAATAAACAGGATTCTCGTTCCTCACCTTGAATAATCCGTGCAGGAGGTAGACATGAAAAACACGGATCCAAAGGAGAAATTCCTTTACCTAATAAAAGGTTGGATTATCTCACAAGGAATGATAATTACAGTAACTTAAAATTATAAAAGAAGATGTCTAAAGGATGATAAGAAATTTTTGAATATTTTTTAAAGATTAAAGGGACGAGAAAAGTCAAGAGAAGTAATGAGAGGAAGGAAGTGAAGGGAAACTCAGCAAATTCGGGGAAACGCAATCTTTTATTTAAATGAAATTATTGTAATTTCTCACCCACGAATGGAAAAAATAAAAAAAATTTACACTTATTGATTGATTTAATAGTTAATAGATAAGAATATGCGTGAGGCAAAGAGAAAGCGTGAGATATAAGTTTTATATTTGAAAAAAAAAGTTCATGCTTATTTTTAAGTGATCAATTGGATGATTCTTTTGTGTTGTATCTAGCTCGCACATATACCAGTTTTACTCCGCCGCATGAATGAAACAATTTAACAATGGTTTTAGTTATTAGTAAAAAAAAAATAAAAATAATCGAGTTTCTTAATAACGTTTAAGCACAAGTTTCGGTAATTAAGTAAGTGGTGGTAACTGATTTAAATATTGATAGCGAATTAAAATTCATTTACTCTTCGCAAAGTGACCCAATTGAAAAAAATATGAAGATCTATATGAATCAAATTGGAATTAAAATGAGAAGGGGGTGGGAATTATTACGTATTACATATTAGAAACGTATTATTGTTCATGTACGCAGGTATGTAGTTAATGGTAGTTAATGTAGTTTTTTCTTATATTATCATGCAAACTCCGTAATATACGGAATATACGGAATATACTATATGTATGGCTTTTTTTAACACCTTTTAACTTATTTGGTTCGTGTGTCTTGTGAAAATATTACAGTAGTATAATCCGAGTTTAAAATAGTAAATGTATTATTATTTGTTATTATCTGTTATAGTCTGTTATAGTCTGTTAAAGTAAACTTGTTTGTATAATTTGTCGTAATTTGCGTCGGCGCAGTTATATATTGTCTGTAAAGAACATATTCGGTTTTTATTTAAGTATTCTACGTGTTTCTTTTAATAAATCATAAAGGCGTAAACCGCACTTTTGGTTTTTAATGTTGTAACACTCGAAAACTTGTAACTTCCTGAGAAAACATGAATTTGTCACGTGAATTATATCATTTGCAATCATTACATATACATATCATATACATAACAGTATATATATATTAACATTATAGTATATGTCATTAAATATTATTAATATTATTTGCATGTGATTAACTAACTATACTGTATGAGTTTTAATTAAAGATGAATCAAATCATCTAAATAATTGATAATCAAAAAAAAAACACTTGTTTAATGACGACAAGAATTTGAATACCAACCACTTAAGTACTTATATAACCACGAACAGAGTATGCTAAATATATCTATTTTTTTATTACAGTTTGTAAAAAAAAAAAAAATAGAATTATATACTAGCTGTACAAATAATTAAACACACTTGGCCTGTACGTATACTAAAGTTATTACAACTCAAAGTATAATAGAAACTTTTATGATTGTCTTTTTTTCCTACCATAGTCGGCATTTCCATTACAGGCAAATTGTTCTAAGAGAAGAAAAAAAGGTTCGTTATATAAAATTACTATATACGTACCCTATTGCACTTTCTATATCGAACTGATAACAATCCTCGTTATAAGGAGATCCATCATATGTAGATAATGCCTGTCGGCTGTAATAATTAACATTTAATTCTTTAATATATGTTTAATATTTTAAAATATATGTTTAATATTTTAATATATGTATATATTCTTACAACAATGGATGACAAGTTTTGAAATTTATTATTTTTAATGATTATTTACTTATTAAAATAAACAAGCGCCATTCCTGCTACTATATTTCTTCCTTTCTCAATTCAGTTCTTCTCTAATTAATCAACAAATTATACATATCAATACGTACTTACTAGCATGTACGCGCCTGAATAAAAAAAAACTTTGTATTACTTTAAGTTTCTTGTTTGGGATATACAGTGCTACATACATCTGATATAAATAGGTACGTATGTATGCGAATTTTTATTCGCACTCTTATTTTTTTTCTCTTGTAGCTTTACGTGCGTACGTGTGTACATACATACGTACATATGCTATTTAATCTCTAATAATTTATCATTATATTTAATGTTATATATTTTCTAATTATGGAAAAAGAAAACTCTTCAACCCCTCCATTAACTCATAATGATAATAAAACAAATACCTTACAAGATGAATCTGATCAAATATCTTCAAATGCCTCTTCTACTTCTCATTCAACGAATAAAAATAAGGTGTCTTGGTTTTCGGATATAAATAGCTTGAATGCTATCTTTGCTTCTTTAGGTACTGCTAATAGTTTGACAAAAAATCCTAAAATTGATGATAGTAATAAAGATGTTCGTGAGTCTAGTATCCTTGTTGATAATAATAACCTGAAAAATCTTTTAATTGATGATGCTGAATCTAGCGAATGCTACGATGTTCCATCCAAAGTTTCCCATATCCATCAAGAAATTCTTGATAAATCTTCAGTATCTTCTTTTGAGTCCTTGGAAACTTCAAAATCTGTCTCTACTACTCCCTCATCTTGTCAACCTCAAGAATTAATAAAACTTGATATTATCCAATGTCAATTTGAATATTTTGGTGGCAAACCTTCCGCTGTTATAAATTCAAAATATCTTGGTGATTTGGCTTTTTTATACAGAATTTCTGATGCTATGCAATCTGAAGGTGGTGGTGAAATTTCTTTTTGTTTAAATGGAATGGCCGACGAAGTTTCAATTCCATTTAATCAATTGTCCGGATTCAAGATCACTAATGATGGAAAAATTAATTTGAGACTTAAACCGAATTTTAAAAAAACTGTAAAGCATCTTAATTAATTAATTAATTCATTCATTCATTCATTCATTCATCCATTCATTATTTATTTAATCTATTTGTTTATTTACTCTTTTTCTTTCATTCATATACATATTATCGTTATTAAATTAGTATCGTCATCATCTTGGTGGTTATCCTTATCTTTTAGAACCAACTACTTCTACATCGGACCCGACTAATGGAAAGCTTCATGCTTTACATTCTCTTTTGTTGTCTCCTGATCGCTCCGGAAAGCTTTCTACATTGACCGATATTGAAATCGCAATTGAAAAATTATGGTTCAGAAGACATGATGTTCATAATGAACTCGTTAAAGATAGGCAAAAAGTATTTTAATATTTTTACCTTATTTAGTTAGTCTTATCAACTTTTTATTATCTTTTTTTTCTTATTAATTTCTTATTAATTTCTTATTAATTTCTTATTTCAGAAAATGTATCTGACTTGTGTGTTTCCAACTGAACGAAGAGCACTTTCTTATCCAATTGATTCTCCATATCATAGATTATTATTAGATCTTGAAACTAGATTTAATTTACCTACTAACAATATTAATCTTAGATTTAAAAATAATAATGGTGATATGGTTGGATTAAAAGATGAAGAAACTTGGAGATTGGCGAAAAGTGATGCTTATAGTAAAAACTTAATTAGATTAACTATTTATATTTGGTGATTTTTATTAATCTTTAATGTCTTTTCTTAAATTTCCTGGTGAAAATAGATTAATTTCATTTTTTATTATTACATGTTTTATTTATTTCTTCTTACTACTTAATATACACTACATACACTACATACATTCTTTATATAGTCGTAAACCCCCCCAATTGAAAAACTTTTTTCCTTTACAATTATAGTAGTACTGTAGTAATTATTATGTATTCTCCGCGATATATCATTCTTCCGTTTACTAATTGACAGTCGGAAGCTAGTTCCCACTTCATTTAAAATTAAAATCATTGACAAAATAACACATCGAAAAAATTAGTAAAACATGAAATAATTTTCCTTTTACAACTAAAACGGCTAATTTAATATCGATAACCTTGAATTTATATGACATTTTATAAACTGTAGAATTTGTTTAAACAAATACTACCAACTGTAGAATTTATTTAAACGAATACTACAAACTGTAGAATTTATTTAAACGAATACTACAAACTGTAGAATTTGTTTAAACTCAATCAAAAATGGATCAATCGCGTTCTCAAAATGCGATCACAATGGTAAAAGTTACTAAATTAACAGAATAAAATTAGTAGATGTTATTTATAGTTACTAGTTAAAAATTAATACTGTATAAATAGTATAAAATTAAATAGTAAATACAGTCGTCCCTCATTAATATCAACCCCGTTAATATCAACCTAGACTATAAACCAAATTTTTATATATCAACTTTAATATAATCCTTCATTAATATCACTATCAACATGAATTTAAATCAATCCAAATAAGTTGATATTAATGTCAGACGACTGTATTATGATCTTGATACCTTATTTTAATAAGCGTTTAACATTTACTTAATTCAAAATTTATAAGGGGATTAAACTTAATAAATGTTCTTTATATTTGCAACCAAATTAAAATTGATTTTTTAATCTATATCCCGATATTAAAAAAATCGACATTTTTTTTTTAATCAGACCAGTCCTAAATCATACCTTTAATAGAGATAAAGATTATTTTCCTGGACTAACATGATTCAAAACTTCTTGGTCATACCTGTTACCATATCCTATTCAAAACACTAGAAAAATAACATATTGTAAGAACACTAACGCGAACTTCTCTGAGTTTTATTCTTGATGTAAATCTAGTTCAAATGAAACTAAAATCAGATAATTTAATACTGTAATAAAAGCGAATGACTTATATGTACAAAATAACTTTTTTTAAATATCAGATTTACAAGCTATGCACTAAATAGTTTATGTCTCGAAATTTTCTTCCGGTTTATTGACTTTTGGTTCAAAAGAGTCTTTTGAAATATTTAACCGTGTTCCACTTGGGTAATTTTTTCCCACATAGTTTTTAATAATCTTGAAGCCAGGCATAAAGTTCATTATGTTGCTATGTATGATACAAGCTAATAAAAGATGATATGAATAAATTATTTTTTCGTTTTTTTTTTACATTGATTAAATAAGTAGATTCTACTCACTCAAAAAATGAACTCATACTTTTTTGAATCGATATCTTTCACTATTAGGGCTATTCTTTCTTCCGATTACCAAGTATACCAAATTTGCAATACAAAGGTTACACAATCGTTCAGATACTTCATTAAGTTAATCGTTCTAAACTCTAGAAATAATGAATTTACTAATTTACTGCACTTGTTAAGATAAATAAAAACACAATAAGAAAATATAATTACCTTTTTCTATAAATCTAGTAAATTTTGTGTAGTAAATTTTGTCACAGATCCAATTTTCTTCTTAAAATTATTACCTAGGAGTATTAAACAGAAAAATAATTAAGTTTTGTTGACTCTTATTAGTTAAAAAAAAAAACCTAAAAATTTTGCATCCATACAAAAATGTTTGTTGATGGCATTAAATCAGTCCTTAGTTTTTTCTCTCACGCACTTACTAGATGATAATCTAGCCGAATAAACAATAAACCCTAGTTAGTTAATAGAGTTAGTAATTACAGAATTAATCTATCTCAGAATTACTTCGATTCTGCCAAATCGGCTAGGAACCTTTAAACAACAGGTAACCTGCATATGGCAGGATATTGAACGTCAGACAATCCAGGAAATCCCATGCATGTCGTAGTAACAACTTAGAAAGTTATTACTACGCAATTAATTCATGACTAGATTTAATAACAAAAGTTTCTATACTCACATTATGACTATCAAGAAACGATTGTGCTTTTTTGCATTTGGTATCTTTTTTTATCATTAACGATTTTCTAGAGACTTTTACAATAATCAGAACGAGCTTTTCTTTTACTGTATCAAAATAATAATGCACAAATAATTCCAACATGATAAACGAAAAGATACGCGTAATTGAGTTGTTTATTAACCTAGAGCACATACCTTTTGTTTTAGCATTGCCCATAAATGAGCGCGCAGTCATAAACTTCTTACAGTACTAAAGTTCTGCATATAATGTAATGAACACTAATAAAATAATGTCCATTCCTGTACCTGGCGCTACACGTATGTTTCAATAATGTTCGTACTGTTGTTACTTTTTGGAGCCTTATTTATTACTAATCATTCCACTAATCATTTAACATATCAATACTTGGTATTATTATTATTAATCAAAATTTTACTATAGATTGACCACCTAACTGTTACCCATGATGATTGGCGATGCTGGATCAAGTTATAGATTTGGGAAAATTATAACTATAGATTAAACCTGCCAAAAAAAAAATTCAATCCGAGTAACGTGCAAGTTTAGCCTGTGAGTTGCTTTTTAGTGCAGACAAATTTTTTAGAGTTCATTGATATCAATATTAATATTAGCATTTATTTTAAAATTAGGATTAATAATATAATAAAATTGATCACTTAGTTTTATTTATAACAATATATACAATTCATTATATTTTCTTTACTATACCAAATATTCTATAGAGCAACCTGCATACAGAACAATTAAAAACTTTAGTAATACTATAACATAGTAATATAGTCTTCTCAATATTAAATAAAAAACATTCTACTTTTATTTGTACAAATTAACTGGAATGCTACCTGGTATTTTCTTAACAACAACTATAAAAGATCTGCATCTTATATTAGCTTTATACATGTTATGAAAAAAAACTTTTAAAATCAAACTTATATTAGAAATATTATCTACATTATCTCATCTTTATTCCTTTTATTCAACAATATACCTTAATTTATATTACATTTTTTGCAATGCATATAATAGTCAACTATATTAGCTTATATATTTACATTTATATATACTTAATTCTACTATTATTAACACAATATAATAATTTTTTAATAATTCATAATTAGATATAACAATTATAAAATCACAAAAACTATATGACAAATTTATCAATCATCTATGTTTTTTTTTAAACAACCTTATTAAAAATTAGACAAACATATATATAATAATATAAGATTTTGTTTTAATTATATTAATTAACACAATATGAGAATATATTATTAGCAATCAGTTAGCAACTAATACTACAATAAAATTCTTAATCTAATTATCTCAAAATATATACAACCAAATTTGAAAACTATATTACATTAAACTATTAAAATAAAAACAACAAAACAATATTTTAAATTAACTATCTTGTAGTTAATTAATAAACTTCAATAATATATCTAAATTAATATCATAAACCAAAATATTATATACTTACAGTTGTACTTATAATTTTCTTGACCAACATATGCAGAAGACTTTTATAACTCTTATATTTGTTTACTATAAGAAAAAGCTATCTAAATAGTTATCTAAATAAATAAACTATAATACTTTTACTGATTATATTATATATTATTAAATCTAAGTAAATTTTAACTATTCTAATAAGTTTAAGTTGCAGATAAATTAGAAAATTAGTTAATAATTTTGTTCATAATCTGAGTCTTATTTTTATAAAAAATTTGTAAATTAGTTCTGACTTATATTAACTTATGTAATTGTTTATAATAAATTATTAATAAAAATAAAGTTAAAATCTTATCATAATATCAAAAAAAATAAAATAAAAAAATAAAATAAAAAAATAAAATAAAAAAATAAAATAAAAAAATAAAATAA